CGGGGCCTGCCCGCGCTGCCCGGGGCCTGCCCGCGCTGCCCGGGGCCTGCCCGCGCCCTCCCCACAGGGACCCTCTGGGGATTCCAGGCACCGAGCACGCCCAGGAATGAGGACTCTCAGACACTGGCGATGGTGCAAAGGAAAAACACCACTTACCGACGCTGGCGGGAGTGACGTCTGGGCCCCCAGCTGGAAGGCAAGAGCGGGGTTCACTGTGGAAGGCTCGGATGAGCGCCCAGGGGCCGTGGCACCTCCCCCCCGCTCCCCATCCTCAGAAGTGGAGGCCTTGGCGGCAGGGCCTGGCCGCACCCCGGTGACCCCACACCCGGCACACGCGGACACCGTCCGGTCTGCTGAGGGGAGAGCCGGGCCGGGGTGGGAAGAATGGGCTACAGGGGCTCCTCGGGCCCGGGAGACCGTGGTGCTTTCACACGAGCTGTCTCCCGTCCCCACATGGGCCACAGAAACTGTGGCCCCAGGCCTAGCACCGGGCCCTGCAGCCTGTGCAACACATCTGCTCACCTCTAGGCAAAGATGGCCAGAAAACAAGTCTGTTCATTTCAAGAAGAAATTTTAAAGCCAACATGCGTAAGGAGCAGCTGGTGAACGCCAGCTCCTGCTGTAGGCCACGGGCCAGTGGTGGCGGGGTGGGTGTGGGATCTCCACCCCTGCACAGCAGTGCCCCTGCCCGGAGGTGGACCCCTGCGAGTGCCCAACACCGTCTGCTCTGGAGGTGAGAACGCACCAGGACCTTCCGGAACCCGTTTCGGACTCGGACGTAGAGCTCTTCCCTCTCCGTCACGAAGATGAGCCAGCCCTCAGGCACCTCGCGCACTCTGTCCAGCATGGTCCGGTACGTGGCCCAGATCCTCACCTGCTGGAGTCCCAAGCCCGAGTGGGTCCCGCTACCCGACCCCGGGCCTGGGGCTGGCCGCAAGAGCAGGGGTAGGGCAGACAGGACCCGTGCGTCCTGGCTGGGCATGGCTTTGGGCTGGGAGAGCTAGCCGTAAGGCCCCCGGGCGCCCGCTGGCTGCCCGTGGAAGGGCCGCAGGTGACGTGTGCACCCTGGCACCTCCAGTGGGTGGCTGTGGGAGCTTCCCGACAGACCACCCACCTCCCCGTGCCCACCCCAGACGTCCCACTGGTGTCTTACCCCTGAGGAGGCCCCCATGGCTCCAGGGGGCCCCGGGGGACCGGGTGGGCCTGGGGGACCGGGCACACTGACAGCTGCAGGAGAGAAGCCGGGTGAGCCTGGCCCACAGCCGTGGCAAGGCCTGACCGTGCGGTGGCCGTACGGTGCTCTCCACAGGCCCTGCCCCGGGCCACTCCCCAGACTCACTCTGTCTGTGAGGGCCGGGGAACGAGGGAGGCCCCGGAGGGCCTGGGGGCCCGGGGGGGCCCTGGCGTCCCTCGTAGCCAATGCCGGGAGGTCCCTGGGGTCCGGGCGGGCCCGGCTGGCCCCGGATGCTCTCTCCTTTTGGACCCTGTGACAAGAAGACATGTTCTTAGCCCAGGCTGGGCTGCATCTGCGTGGGCGCCCCGTGTGGAGGGGTCTGAGCCTCAGGTGCCGGGACCCTGGCCACGGACAAGAGCTGCCCAGCACCCCACGGAGAGTGGTACCCGTGCTCCGGGGGCCAGAGATGCGTGTGGAGCAGGTGGGCAGTGGCAGGGCAGACACGCGTGAGGGTCTGTGTTCACGTGACCACCCGGTGGCTGCACACCCCCCAGGGCTGCATCGGCCCTGAGCTCCACGCAGGCCGGAGCTGTGTGGACACCGGCAGCTGGTGGGGGTCTGAGCTCACCGGAATGCCGGGGTAGCCGGGGGGGCCGGGGGGCCCGGGGGGGCCGGGCACGCTGGAGCCGAAGAAGCCCCCGCTGGGCCCCGGTTCGCCTCGCTCGCCCTTCTGTCCGGCGTCCCCGCGGTCTCCCTTCTCCCCCTGTGGGAAGCGAGCGCCCGTGGAGAAGGGGCGGTATTGTGCGGTCTCCCGACCCCAGCGCCCACCCTCCAGGGCCCTGTCCGCTTCCTCCCCGGCCCAGTGGGCCCCTCCCCAGGGCCACACCCGCTCAGGGAGGAACACAGAGAAGATGGCACACGTCATCCTCCGACGCATGCCAGCACAGACCACACAGAGAGCGCCCTGGGGCCGGCCGCCCCTCAGACGGCCCCTCTCCCGCCTGACCAGCAGCCCCGCTCACCTTCATTTCAGCTTCCAAGTGAAGGAGATCCAAGGGAAACTGGCCTGCGGAAGGCGGTGGGGACTGGGCAAGGGCCGGGGCCTCCCACTAAGAACCCCTTGTGCCAGGGTTTACACCACCCGCGCCTGCACACGCACGTCAGTAATGGGCCTCACCCGTCGATACAACTCAGGCAGGGCATCTGCCTAGTGCAAATACTCTGACATCCCAACCGCCACCCAAACCTCCTTCCGGAAGGAAGGGGCCTGTGGACCCTGATGGTGCCCACTTGGGTCCAGCCTCCAGCTCTTCAACAGGGAGGGAGGGCAGGAGCTATCTGGAGCCCCGTCCCCTCAGCCCTCCGGTCCCCAGATCCAGGTCATGTCGGGACTGCGGGGCGGGAAGAGGCTTTCCCCCTCCAGTGGAGGGCAAGGTGGGGGCGTCCGGCCCTGCCAGGGACCTGGACCTGGCTTCCTGTCCATCAGCCCGGCTGCCTCCACAGCCAGGACACACGGACGGCTCGCTCACCTGGGGGTCCCGGGGGACCCACTTCTCCTTTGTCACCCTTCGGCCCAGATGGCCCCTGTGCCCCTAGAGGAAGAGAGGCCATCAGGGGAAGTCGGGCAGGGCCTCCATTCCCCGGCGCTCCTGAGCCTTGCGGGGGCCGGCCATGGGTGAATGGGGTCAGAGCCACAGCTGGTGAGGGGGGGACGCCCCGCACAGGCGTTGGTGCCCCGCTCCAGACGTGAGGCGGGCCCGGTCTAGGTGGACACCTGGCTCTGCTGCGGCCTTGGCCACCTGAGCCTCCGCTGGGTCCCTCTTGGAGGCGGAGCTGGGAGGAGGCCGCGGCACTGACAGGCCTGGCCAGGGGGCTGAGGGGCAGGGGCCCGGGGCTAGCGCAGCCCACTCAGTAAGGCCTGCACTGCCACCCGCCCCTGTGGGACCGCTGCCCGTGCTGAGCCCCGGGGCTCACCTTGCAATCCTTTGGGCCCAGGGCGGCCAGCCTCCATGAATGCCTGCAACAAACAGTCCAGAGGTGACTACTGAGGGACAGGGCAGGGACTGGCTGTGGAAACTGAGGCAGCCGCTCTCCCAGGGTGCGGAATCCTGGCAAGCCCCAGCCCCTCCCAGAGGACACACGGACACGCTCCCCTGAGGACTGTCGGAGCAGGAGTGAGCACAGGGGTTTGGAGCTGGGAGCTGGGCCGTGGTAGGCCTGCTCCTCTGGCCACTCCCCTGGCTGAGCTGGTAGAATGGGATCCCCCTTCCCCCAGACCTGGGGTTCCATACTCGGGACCAGCTTAGGGCTGGTCTGAGACAGACACACCCTGCCCTCCCCGCCCCTGCTTTCCCCAGGGAATCCGCGCTACCCACTGCCAGATGTGGCCACCAGACAGGCCCATGTCCCGAGATGTGCAGGGACAGACACGGAGGCCGGGGAAGGGGTGGGCGCGTGGGGAGGGAGCCCGGCGGGGGGGTGGCCTTGGAGCCTGGGGCGGCTGGCAGGGCTGCGCAGCGCGGTGTGAGATGACTTACGTTGCTGTCGTAGACCGGCACCCCCGGAGGGCCTGGGGGCCCCGGAGGGCCCGGCGGCCCGGGCATTCCCTGTGGAGAAGCAGATGTCACCCAGGGCGTGGCCAGGCCAGCGACACAGCCAGTGAGCAGTGAGGGCACAGACAGGACCGGCTTAACCAGAGGAAGCAGCGAGCTGGCTCTGGCCTGGGTCCTGCGGCAGAGCCCCGACACTGCTTCCGGAAGAGCTGGGTCAGTGGCCCTGTCAGCGTGTCTGTCTGTGCACTGCGGGCCGGCAAAGCTCCCGGGAGGAAGCGCAGGAGCGTCCCGGGTGAGCATGTGGGAAGCCGGTTTCTGTTTGTTTCTAGCTTGAGGAAGGAAGTTGGTAGGACAGCAACACGGCACTGTGCCGGCCGTGTGGGGAGTGTGGCCTGGGGGCCTCCTGGCTGCTGGCCGTGTGGGGGTGTGGCCAGGGGGCTCCCCTCCCGGCTGCCTGCCTCAGGACAGCTCCTGGGCCAGGGAGGGGGACGCAGCTTCCCGGAGGCCACACCGGAGGGGCCGCGCCTGCCTGCATCTACCGGTAAAGAGGCTCCCTCCTCGTGAGGAGCAGCCTTGCCACCGACTTAGAAAAGTCAAACCAAGGGCAAAACCAGAGGCCGGTGCTTCTCTTTGACAAGGGTGACCCGTGACCAGCCGCGGCCTCGGTCCTCTAGCGTGCTGCACTCCTGGCAGCTGGTTCTGGAGTTTTGCTGATGCTGCCAAATTTTCATCCACAAAAAGGAATGAAGCCCAAGAAAGAACCCACAGCCTCACGGTCCAAGGTTCTGAAACACAGCAGGTGCACCCGCCCGGGCAGAGCGGGTCGAGGGCTGGGAGGGAAGCGGTCTGGAGGAGGCAGTGGCCGGGAGCTTGGGCGAGTCTCGGCAACTGCTTTGTGAGGGCAGCAATGAGAGAGGGCGAGGCCTCCACCCAGAGCCAGGGCTAGGCCTCTACACCCGACCCGGGATTAGGCCTCCACCCCAGAGCCGGGGCTACGCTTCCACCCAGAGCTGGGGCTATGCCTCCACCCAGAGCCAGGGCTAGGCCTCCACCCCAGAGCTGGGGCTACGCCTCCACCCCAGACACAGCGGCTGCCTGCCATAGTGTGGAGTTGGGAGATGCAAGGGAAGGCTTTGCGCAGTCACCACGGCACAGCCCCGGAGGACCAGGCGGCTTCTCTGCTCCTGGTGGGCTGGGTGGTGGGCGCATGCACGTGTATAACTGCATTGCTCTGTGTGCCAGGCCGCAGCCCGTGGTCACCGTATCTGGCTGGCACTTACCCTCATGCCAAGTCCCAGGCTGGTGTCTCCGGGCTCGCCCTTCTCGCCCTTCAATCCATTCACCCCTGGCCGACCCTGGAGCACAGCAAAGCAGGAAGAACTGCTGGGCTCTGGTGGAGATGGTTCCACACCCACCCATCCTAACTCCTGCGGGCCGGAGCCCCCATTCCTCCCCTACCAGGCTCCGGGGAGCGTTGCCGCCCCAGACCCCAGCCTGGACACGGCCGGGGGACCCCCACCACACCCAGAGGACAGCTGTGCTCCGGTCAGGATGTGTGAAGGCAAGTGACCACGACCCCCAGGCCCGTCCCCCCGTGGCTGGGCCTCTCCAACCTTTTGGGCTAGCCCGCTACCCGCAGGGCACTGAGGCCCTCACTGGCCCTCACTGGCCCCAGGTCCTCACCGGCCTTCCGGGAATGCCGATCTCGCCCTTGTGTCCGGGCCGCCCATAGGGACCCTGTGGAGAGGAGGAGCGAGCTGAGGCTGCAGTGGGGGCTGATCCCCCCCCCAGGCCAGGATCCCGGCCCCCACCCACGAGGGGCTCTCCCTGCGGCCTCTCCCGGCCTCCCCGGGCTTCTGAGCCGCAGGTGAGCTCTCAAGGCTGGGCCACGCGAGCTGACAGTTTCCTGCCCAACCACCACGCCCACGTGCTCTCCAAAGGGCCAGGGGGCTACTCACCGGGGGTCCTCGGAAGCCTGGCTCTCCCTGAATGAAAGACCAGAGGCACCGTCACCCTCGGTCACCCTGTGGTGCACCTGGGCACAGGCCCGGGGCCGTCGGTGGGGCTCTGGGGCGCTGGGCCCGCAATGCCCTGGCTCTGACATCCAAGCCCCTCTTCCGGGAAGCCAACCATGTAGTGCTGTCACCAGAAACCCCGACGCCCAAGCCCACCCGGAAGGAGACGCGCCTCACCTTGGCTCCTTTCTGGGCAGGGCCCAGGGCTCTGCCATCCGCACCGTAGAAGCCACCCGGCTCCCCCTTCTCCCCCTGGAAGGGCAGGGCGGGGGGTCAGGCCAGGCTCCCACATGGCCGTGGCTGAAGACAGCACCGCTCCCCCTCCCCAGGGCCTCAGACAGACAGACAGACAGCCCTGAAGCAGGAACAGAGGCAAGGCCTCGGCCTCAGACAGACAGCCCCGCTAGGTGGACACCATAGCAGCTTCTCACCTTGGGGCCTGGGAGGCCCTGCTCGCCTTTGGAGCCCAGGTCACCCTTGGGTCCAGTGGGTCCCTGGAGTGGAGACCAAGCAGGAGTGAGGATGTCTGGCCCGTGCCCTGTCCCAGGGCTGCTCCTGGTGGTGTGCCAGTCCCTCACCTCAAGGACAGTGCCCGACGCCACCCCAACCTCATCCCTAACAAGGACCTCTAGCTCCCAGGGGGGTCCGAGTGTACAAGGAGACCCCGACGCACAGCTGGTGCAGGGCAAGCTTGCGGTCACTCACCCTCAAGCCTCCGTGCCCAGTCCTGCCCTGTGGAGGGAGGGGGAGCATTAGTGCAGGGAACACCAGGCTCGGGGGACACTGGACACATTGAACCAGCCACCACCTGGCCACAGCAACTGCGCAGGCCCACGGCCACCGCCTAGGCCACGGCTACCGCCCAGGCCTGCAGCCACTGCCCAGGCCTGCGGCCACTGCCCAGGCCTGCGGCCACTGCCCAGGCCATGGCCCAGGCCACGGCCACTGCCCAGGCCACAGCCACCATCTGGCCACAGCAACTGCGCAGGCCCATGGCCACCGCCCAGGCCACGGCCACCGCCCAGGCCCACGGCTACTGCCCAGGCCCACGGCCACTGTCCAGGCCACAGCCACCATCTGGCCACAGCAACTGCGCAGGCCCATGGCCACCGCCCAGGCCATGGCCACCGCCCAGGCCACAGCCACCGCCCAGGCCCGCGGCCACCGCCCAGGCCCACGGCTGATCTTCTCAGACACAGGCCTCACGTACCTCAGGTCCTGCCACACCTGCCACTGCCCAGGCCACGGCCACCACCTGGCCACAGCAACCGCCCAGGCCCATGGCTACCACCGAGGCCATAGCCACGGCCACCGCCCAAGCCACGGCCACCGCCCAGGCCACGGCCACCGCCCAGGCCACAGCCACCGCCCAGGCCCATGGCTACCACCGAGGCCATAGCCACGGCCACCGCCCAGGCCACGGCCACCGCCCAGGCCACAGCCACCGCCCAGGCCACAGCCACCGCCCAGGCCCACGGCTGATCTTCTCAGACACAGGCCTCACGTACCTCAGGTCCTGCCACACCTGCCACTGCCGGCTGCCCCTAAGCCAACAGAAAACAAAAATCAGAAGAGAAGCAAGGAAAGAAGACCTCCCTTCAAAGTTAAATCAGCTCCTGCCGTGTGGCTGGCATACGACCAGCAAAGCAATCCAAAGTGGGGAGGAAAACTATTGCCACTGCCCTCTTTTTGCCATGAGGCTGCCCCCTGGGTCCCTCACCTCTGGGGTCCTCTGCCCCTGGGGCTCTGCCTGGGCCGGTGCCACTCTAGAGTCCCGGAGGCAGAAGATGACGTTCAGCACTGCAGACCAACTTCTCAGGCCCTGCCGGACCTGAGGGGAGCCCTGCCCCGGGGCCTTTCTCTGACAGCGCCCTCCAACCCGTGGCCACCGGCTAGCGGTGCCCGGCACTCCTCTGGGCCTTGACCCCTGCCGGCAGCCCCATTCTCCGGGGCCTCCCCCGCATCTCTCTTGCCTGTGTGAAAGTCAGCCTGTGCCTAGGAACCTGGCAGTCAGGCCTGGGACCATTCTTACGCTTCTTCCCAAACTCATGCTACCTGTCCTGAACACCAGACAGAGCACAGAGAGGCTAATGTGCTCAAGACCACAGTGGACAGCAGGGGCTCTGGCCTGCACAGGCCGCCCCTCCCAGAGCCCAGGGCAGCAGGGATCTAACCATGGGACGGCCACACACACCAACCAGCCGGCCAATCAGCTACCTGGGCCAGACTGTGTCCCAAGGCGCTGTGTCCCCGTGGCCACCGTGTGTGTGTGTGCACGCGTACGTGCACGCATGCGTGCACACGGGCGTGAGGGGGACGGGTGCTAGGCGGCCCTGGGGCTGGGTTTGGAGGCAGGGCAGGCAGGGCCCATCTCCACGGATTTGCTGACACTGGCACCATAGAAAGTACCGGTGCTCACGACAGCCCAGGGCCTGAGGGGCTCAGGACTGGGGTGGCTTCAGCCCCCGCCCAGTTCCCATGAGGGCAGAGGGACCAGTCCCCGACGCACCCGCACCCCAAGGTCCTTACGTCCTGATCCGACACGTAGACCACAGGCCCCGGGGGTCCTGGGGGTCCAGGGAGGCCCGGCTGCCCGACTCCGTCCTTCCCTGGATCGCCCTGGAAGAGAACAGTGTCCACCCCTCCACCACACCGTCCGGGACTGAGCCCCCAAGCCGCCAAGGGGCTCCCCTACTCCACGGACGTACTGCAAAGCGGCCATGGACCAGGACCAGGCGCCTTCACCAGGAGCCACCTGGCCTCAGGTGCCGTGCCCCAGCTTTGGGAGCCCCGCTGACTTGAGGGTGTTTACCGTGCTGGTGCAGCATGGAGAGCGCCCCAGCCCCCCCACCCCGGGCTCAGC